ATTTTTGCAATATCAGAGGAAACGTTCCCGAAATAAAGTAAAGATCTGTAAATTGAGGTGTCACTTGTTTGTGTGACGGGAAATGCTAAGTTCCTTCTGTTTTTAAGGAGAACTCTGTTGATCATATTATCCACTATCTCAGGTCCAAAACCGTTGTTAACTTCTAGTTGTTTAAGTAAGTTGGTTTCAATTTTGAAATTAGTTATCGAGAGGGGTATGTTAATTAGTCTATGTACATAACAAGAAAGGACTGACATTTTATGTTGAAAGGGGTGGATGGAATTAACGGGTATTAAGTGATCTGTTTGGGTAGGTTTCCTGTATATAGAAAATTCAAGGGAGTTAGTATTGAAGTTCTTTGTGAGTGTTAGGTCTAGAAAATTGATACAGTTATTTAATTCTATTTCAAGAGTGAATTTAATAGATGGGTGTAATTTGTTAAGTTCTAATAATAAGATTTCAGCATCGTTATTATTACCTGATATGAATACAAGTACATCATCAACATACCGAAACCAGTGTAAGATATTATTAAAATTGTTGTTATTGTTGAAAATCTTATTGACTTCTAAGTCATCCAAGAAAAGGTCAGCTAATAAGGGAGATAGTGGGTTGCCCATCGCTAAACCGTCTGGTTGTCTATAGATTATGTGGTTGAATAAGAAGAACTTAAGCAAAATTTAAGCAGTGAGATAACATGTTCAACAGTGTTAGGGTTAATGTTTTTCTTTAGTAAAAGATTTTTGATTATTGGTATTGTTTCTAGTCTAGGTACATAAGTGAATAGATTACTTACATCAAAAGAGACTAGTAGTGAATTAATATTAGGTTTGCAAGTATTGATTTTATTAACTAGATCTAGAGTGTTTTTAACTGTGAATTTAGGTTTATAATCAATGGTATTGAGTAAAAATGTATTGACGAATTTAGACAAGTTGGCGAGGGGTGTATTAGAAAAGCTAACAACTGGTCTCATAGGATTATCAATTTTATGGATTTTTGCAAGTCCGTAGAGTCTAGGTATGTTAGGGTTAGATATTATGAAGTTTTTATATTTAACATTGTTAATATTGAAGAAAGTAGAGTGATTATTAAGTAACTTTTTAAGATCTATAATAAGTTTATTGAGAGGGTTCCTCTGTAGAATTTCAAATTTATTGTTATTAGGGAGGTTTTTGTTTTTTAATAACAATAATTTTTTAACTAATAATGTATTTGTAAAATACGAAATATAAGGGTGTGTTTTGCTAATTTTCAACAACCTCTTTTCCAAAAATGTATTCAATGTATTTTAATTCAATTTTAACTCTGGATAGATATCTATTGACGTAAGGTAATTCACCCTTACTTCTCGTATTAAATTTTAAACTTTGTAGGACGGTCTGAAGAGTACAATGTTTTGTCGAAAGCGCTAGCCAAATTGTATTAAACATTTATATATACACACTTGAGTACTCAATTCCTCAACTCAACCCAATCATTTAACCACTGAGTGTGTACTTTCCCAGTCTAACACACAAACAAACACACAAACACACAAACACACAAACACACAAACACACAAACACACAAACACACAAACACACAAACACACAAACACACAAACACACAAACACACAAACACACAAACACACAAACACACAAACACACAAACACACAAACACACAAACACACAAACACACAAACACACAAACACACAAACACACAAACACACAAACACACAAACACACAAACACACAAACACACAAACACACAAACACACAAACACACAAACACACAAACACACAAACACACAAACACACAAACACACAAACACACAAACACACAAACACACAAACACACAAACACACAAACACACAAACACACAAACACACAAACACACAAACACACAAACACACAAACACACAAACACACAAACACACAAACACACAAACACACAAACACACAAACACACAAACACACAAACACACAAACACACAAACACACAAACACACAAACACACAAACACACAAACACACAAACACACAAACACACAAACACACAAACACACAAACACACAAACACACAAACACACAAACACACAAACACACAAACACACAAACACACAAACACACAAACACACAAACACACAAACACACAAACACACAAACACACAAACACACAAACACACAAACACACAAACACACAAACACACAAACACACAAACACACAAACACACAAACACACAAACACACAAACACACAAACACACAAACACACAAACACACAAACACACAAACACACAAACACACAAACACACAAACACACAAACACACAAACACACAAACACACAAACACACAAACACACAAACACACAAACACACAAACACACAAACACACAAACACACAAACACACATCATCATCATCGCGAAAATAGTCAAAACGGATCCAGGGGACAACCAAACGTAAAAATCCGTCGAAAACTCAAGGTCAAGAAAATTATGATTCCTATACCTTTGTTATCTGTATACATATAGGAAAGTAGAAAATGAAAGCGACGAACTAATATGGGAACAAAAGAAAGTCGCCAATGAATTCAATAAGTGTTTTGTTGAAATGGGGAAACTGCTTGAGGAAAAAATAAAAAAATCCAAATTTCCAGAAAACCTCTAAGAGACTTCCTAATTCAACAGTTTTATTACCAGCGGACTCTAAAGAAATAACAATTTTTTTCACCAACTAAAAAGTAAAAATCTACTAGAGTAGATGAAATCAAAGCAAAAACTATTAAGTTGCTCTCTAACTACATTACCAAACTATTAGAATAAATGATAAAAAGATGTTTTCAAAGTAGAATAGAAAATATAATATGGCCAGAGACATTTAAAAAGAACATGGTAGTTAATATTTTTAAGTAACAATAGTTACTAATTACCGACCAATTTCACTTGTGACTAACTTCTCGAAGATCTTTGAAAAGTTACTAAAAAAAAAAAGACTAATGTGTTTTACTCTCGCCTCGGCAGTTTGTATTTAAAATATTTTAACAGAAGATACTTTACTCGAAATTAGTGATGAATGAAAAAAATAGCTTATAGATTTCCTTAAAGGACTGTATAGGGGCCTATACTTTTCAATTTTTATGTAAATGGTATATTTGTCCCCCAAAAATGTGGGCGATATCATAGGCTATGCTAATGATACAGCTATTTTCTTTGAAGCCGACACATGGTCTTTCGCATTATAAAAAATTGGATTGACCACAAGCTTTTAACTATTATTATGGATAAAACCTACTTTTTACTCTTTAGCTGCAACTAAGCTAGCAACTCTTCCTTTTTTCATCTTAACATTGATACCTTCAATAACAAAATAACTTCCGTATCGCAGATAAAATACTTAGGAATCTTTATAGATAATATAATAATAATAATATTAATACTCTCCCCTAACTCCATTACGAGTGAATTTCAACCCCTGAAGTCGACTTAGCGACTTGTGTAGGGGAAGTGACGACTATTGTTATTATTTGCCGTGGCGCCTTAAAGATGATTGATGGTTCTATTTGACTTACAGGTGAGGAAAACCTGGAAAACCTCACCCACCATCATCGAGACAGTAACGCATGGCGATTTTATAATCTGCATGTCATATCAACAAAAATTGAATTTCTGTTAATATGGCACACATCAAATCCTATAACGTACCATGCAATTTAATTAAAGCTCCAGATGGTCTAGTGTCCACACCTTAAATTGGATATCCATATTAATTATGTAATAAAAAAACTGCAAACAATCTTATAAAAATTTAAACAGTTAAATAAATACCTGCCAGTAAATTTGATGAAATCTTTATATCTCTCACTAGCAGAAAGTCACTTGAGATACGGAATAATCATATGGGACGGAAACTCGAAGAGTACATTTAAAGATTTTTAAAATGAATTATGTTTGATCTGCTCTATTAAGAATGCCAAATCTTGGACTTAATATTTTATTCCAGTGCAAAATTTTACTTCTCTCAGAATAAAGAATTTTCTGAACACTCCCATAATACTCGACAAAATATCATTATTCATTTACTCTTAGTAAAAAATCCATTTCACAAAGTCCTAATCATAAATAATCTATAAAATTAAGAAAATAAAATGTTATTTAAAAAGAAACTAAAAACATATATACTGGCAACTAACCGAAAATTAGGATTTAAATTGGAATCTCAAAATAATTTCATATTTTCGTTTTTACTAAAAACATTTAAAGTGTTCTTACCTCTTTACATCTTTTTACTGATATTTTTTACTTATAATTTTAACTTATAAATTTACTCATATTTTTTCTTTATTACTATTATTATGATAAATGTTGTTCTATAATCCTCTCAAGTGTATGATTTTTTTCCGTATAGGTTTATATTTTTTCTCTTAGCATTTAAGTATTTCTATTTTTTTACCATGTTTTTTTACATCAAAGCAAGTGTCTCAACACTTATTGATTAATCTTTGTTTCTGGGTTTTGTCTTTTTTATACATTTACTCTAATTCTTATTTATTGAGGAAATAAAGTTATTTATTATTTATTATATCGGGTTTCAGGATATGAAAATAAGACATTTTAAGGTATACCTAAACACAGGATATCAACTTCGATTTCACAGAAGTGGTTTTTATTTAATTTATTAGGATATACTCATACAAAAATTAACTTTGACATTTTTTAAAAAACTGCAACCTGTGGCATAGGAACAAAAGGGTTTGGATTTTCATGTTCATATTTTTTGCATCTTCGTACTTAATTTTTCTTTATTTTTTTTTACAAAAAGCATACCTTAAAAGGTGTTATCGTCATTCTAGAAACCCCGTAAGTATGAGGCTCTTTTGTTCAATTTAGCCTCTTTAATATGTTAAAATTAAGAGGGCGTTATCCCTAACTGTAATAATCAGTAATGGATGGACGGTTTATTGACAAAGGCACCGTAGGTACGAGATATGTATTCTTCTTTTCTTTAATTACTTTTAGTATTTCACCCTTTATACAACATAACAATGATGGCTCTATTATCCACATTTCCTTCAAAATATATCAAACTAAACATGTATGGTTCCGCAATGGCAGGAATATTCAGTTCATGTCTACAAATAATTTCGCTTAGTATTAGTAACAGTCCGAAAGATGTCGCCATGATTTATTTTTCTCTTGGAACTGGGATCATACTTTTCACATTATTTCTCACCTATGTTATGAAATACTCACCTGTAGTGGAATATTACTGGAAAGGAGATCATGAGGAACATGTTGTACCAAGGTTTGTATTTTGTAGGAAGCAAACATTTCTCAAATCTGACTCTGTATACACATGGTGTTTATTACCATTTATTGTCAGGGATAATATGTTTAGAAATAGATATTGTTTGATTTCATATCTGCTTTAAAAATATGCCTAACCCGTAATTTCATATCAGCTCGAAATAGAATAACTCACTTTATTAATAAATATTTTATTTGTAATATTAAAAATGGTCCAATTCGATGATACCCAAAGTAGTCTATATCGACCCAAAGTAGTCTATATCGACCCAAAGTAGTCTATATCGCTTCGAAGTGATCGACGATGACCTACATGTGGTCCATCTAAGCGAAAAACAAAAAAATAATTGGGTGTCTGTGAGATGTAAACGGGGCTCCACGATAGTCGATCTCATTCAAGAATGTCGCGACCTTAATTTAGACTTTCCATTGGCGGAATAACCCAGACACAAAGATGATTTGTTGCTTAACTTTTACCTGAAAGCATAACAAACAGATTGGCAGAAATTAGTACTAAATTGTGCTGTTGTAGATTTTCTAAACAAACTTATTTTCGCAATTTATAATATTAGTAGCGAATTAATACATCTCACAAAATTGTGTAAGTTAGTTGGATATTGTGGTCTTGTAGAAACTGGCACATTCGCTTGCATATACATGCTACCTACGTGCGTACGCGAAGTAGAAGCGCTTGTCCATTCTTGTCTCAGACATTCGTAAAAACAGTGTAAGACCTGGTAGGAAGACTGATTTTTTCAATTCGTCAATGAAAAATTGAATACCAATGATGCCTACAAGGGTTTATTAAAGTCTTAAAAAAATATTAACTCTACTTTGAAATTAATTTTATATAAGAGTTCGGAGAAGGCGATTACGAAAGCAGAGGCACCGGGATTAAACAAAAAAATTATAAGAATTGAAACTGCATTTATGATTGTTTTTTCGGGCAGTATTTTTAAATCGCATCAATCTAAGGTTGTTACGCGTCCTTCCTCAGGAAGGACAGTCCTTAACTAAAGGCTAAAGTCCGTTTTTCTTATCTAAAATTGTTCTTCAGTTTAAAAAAAAAGTTTTCTGTATCTGGGACAAAGTGGATGGATGAACGGAACAGATGTTTCTTGGAACTGATTTGGGTCAAACTGTTAATATATATTAGTTTAAAAAAAATTTAACCATTTTTAAATTTAATTAAAGATGATAAAAAAATTTTAGATAGCTAAGTCAAACAAAAACATACTTACAAAAATTTAAAATAAACAAATTATTTTATTGTCTCGGGCGGTTCTTCAATGACCTCTACGGCGAGGTTTGTCCTTATTGACCTATCAGAAAAGGTAGCAACCCTATATGAATGTAGTCAGAAAAAAACTAAAACAGAAAAATGTAAGTATTGAATTGTTTATTGTTCATCGATTTGTAAAATCATTAATTTCATCTATTTCTTTTTTCCGTGAGAACTTCACAATCTTTTAAGAGGAAGCTAAGGCGTTGATTGGTTGACAGAATTACATTACAAGCGAAAATTGACATTTCGATAAAAGCGACGATGATGAAGATGCTGTTCGGTTCTAAGGATGATTTTAAAATAAACGTTTTCCTTACAATAATTGTGGATCGAGCGCGTATCAGAAGTGCGCCTGAACAAAATAGCTCGTATCAAAAGAGCGCTAGTACGAAATAGCATCAGTCAAAACAGTGCCCGAACGAAATGGCGCCTCTTAAAATAGCATAAGTCAAAATAGGTTTAAAAAAATTTAACCTAAAATTAATAAAAAACTAATTTACCTAACCAGTGCGGCCTGGTGTCTTCGTGGGTTGATTTACAAAAAAATATAGAAAAAATGAGAACATTTCAAAAAACTGTTCATGAGGGATCGTTTAATTTTAAATGGCTTCAAGCCGCACAGATTAGGTGAATTAGTTAAGTTTTTTTTTTAAACGACTTCAAAAAAGAACTCAATTCATCGGAATATTTTGTTTTGTGTATGTTCAAAAATAATTATGTACTACGTTATCCGATTTCTATGATTCCTATTTTGTTAGAAAGAGGGTAACTTAGGGGTGGCTCCATATAAATTTGGTCAATATATAATAATAGGTTCATAAGAAAATAATCAAACTCTTAATTTTTTAAGTATTTTTAACGATAATTCTTTACCACTTTTTCCGATTTCTGTGCCTCTTTTTTTATTAGAAAGGGAATACCTCAAGCGTACTTCCGCATACAAAAATCAAAATCTCAATTTTTAGGGCATCTGCACGATTTTAAAGTCGGTTTTTAAAATGACTTTTATAACTTGTTAATCAGTTTATTTAAAAACAATAGCAATATTTAGAAACTCGATATTTCGTTATGGCGCTATTTTGATGGTGCGCTATTGATTCAACGCTATTTTGATCAGGCGCTCAAACAACAGCGCTATTTTGACAAGAGCTATTTAGTGACAGAGCCGGATTAGAGATCGGAATCTGCTTGTTATTTTTGCTAATATCGATACAGTTTTAAGAATTTACAAATTAATATCACTAAGCAATTCTTCCTAGTTACGCTCAAGTTGTCTGGAAGAAGATTTAACGATTTAGCTGAATCTGAAACTGCTAATTCGATTACATTTGACGATGTCATTAAAATTTTGGTTGAGAATAAATTTAGAAAAAAGTGTGTAATGCAATTTCTATTTAGTTGAATATCTATTACACCTCATATGCAAATATGAGTTTTATATTCGGTTGGAATTAAGTTTTTGTTGCAGTTTATGTGATTTTAATGTTCGCATGCATTTTCGCATTCCATATTTTATCACATATTTTTAGTTTTTTAAAAGAATATAGCTCATATACCCGGCGATTTGGTTCAGCCTATAGGCGGCACATTTATAAATTCGCCCCTAGGTGCAAACCTACTTTAAATATTTATTCTGTAAATTTAATAAGATTAACTTGCAGTTACAAGGTGACAGCCTAAATCTGATTGAAACAAAGTTTATAATTTCAGCATTTCTTGCCAGATTTAAACTAAAGAAGCAAAACATTGGATGGGCCGAATTTTCCCAAGTTGACGTTTTCCGCAAACTAACATTAAGCGACAACTTTGTCGTTTGCTGAGCAAAAAACTTGGCAGCTTTGTTACCATTTTTAACAAATCATTTTCAAGTTATTTGTACGTAGTTTGGTATTTTTTATTTTATTGTCCAAGTTAAAATTGATTTTGAACAACTCCTTTTTTCATGCTAAACGTAGATATAGGCGGTTTCTCCATTGGTTCATTTGTGCAGTGAACACCCAGTTAAATTTCATAAGAGCATATTATTTTAAAATCACATATAAATAACTTAATAATATAAATTCACTTTAATATATTTATTATTTTCGTACGTATTAATCTCTACTTTTTTGGTAAACCACTGCGTTCAGGCTGATCGCGTCTGTTGGTTCAATATGTTGATTGAACGCGAGAGGTGTCTGAGAATGAATGTTAAAAAAATAGATCCGTGAAACAGCAGTGTACCTGATTGAAACCACGCTATTTTAGCATTATTTTGTGCATCGCACGTAGAATACGCCACGACAGCTAACTTCGCTTGGTCCAACGATTAGTTGTTGTGCTTCGACAAGGTCACTCTGACTAGGAGCCTTTAATTCAACGTTGCCACATTTAGTAGATTTCTGCTTTTTGGTAGGTTTTCAGCTATTTTGCCTAGTTTTAGTAGACAATTTTCTTTTGGTAGATTTCAGTAAATATAAAACTTCCTACTTAAATAATTTTGTTGCCAAAAATTACTAAACACGTTAAGGCCGGACGGACGCTCTTCAAAATAAATAATCAGTTAATTTCGTCTAGTAGATTACTTAAAAATAATCGAAAATAATCGATTATTTTCACTTAATAGATTATTTTCGAATAATAGATTAGTTTATTTACAATTAATCGATTATTTTCGATTAATAGATTAGTTTATTTACAATTAATCGATTATTTTCAATATATTAGATTATTTTCAATTAATCGATTATTTTCGATTAATAGATTAGATTATTTTCACTTAATCGATTATTTTCGATTAATCGATTCTATTCGATTAATTAATTATTTTTAATTCTTTTCGTTTCTTTTCGATTAATTAATAATTTTCAATTCTTTTCGTTTCTTTTCGATTCTGTTTAATTCTTTTCTATTCTTTTCGATTCTTTCGATCCTTTTCGATTCTTTTCGATTCTTTTCGATTCTTTTCGATTCTTTTCGATTCTTTTCGATTCTTTTCGATTCTTTTCGATTCTTTTCGATTCTTTTCGATTCTTTTCGATTCTTTTCGATTATTTTCGATTCTTTTCGATTCTTTTCGATTCTTTTCGATTCTTTTCGATTCTTTTCGATTCTTTTCGATTCTTTTCGATTCTTTTCGATTCTTTTCGATTCTTTTCGATTCTTTTCGATTCTTTTCGATTCTTTTCGATTCTTTTCGATTCTTTTCGATTCTTTTCGATTCTTTTCGATTCTTTTCGATTCTTTTCGATTCTTTTCGATTCTTTTCGATTCTTTTCGATTCTTTTCGATTCTTTTCGATTCTTTTCGATTCTTTTCGATTCTTTTCGATTCTTTTCGATTCTTTTCGATTCTTTTCGATTCTTTTCGATTCTTTTCGATTCTTTTCGATTCTTTTCGATTCTTTTCGATTCTTTTCGATTCTTTTCGATTCTTTTCGATTCTTTTCGATTCTTTTCGATTCTTTTCGATTTTTCGATTCTTTTCTCTTTTCGATTCTTTTTTTCGATTCTTTTCGATTCTTTTCGATTCTTTTCGATTCTTTTCGATTCTTTTCGATTCTTTTCGATTCTTTTCGATTCTTTTCGATTCTTTTCGATTCTTTTCGATTTTTCGATTCTTTTCGATTCTTTTCGATTCTTTTCGATTCTTTTCGATTCTTTTCGATTCTTTTCGATTCTTTTCGATTCTTTTCGATTCTTTTCGATTCTTTTCGATTCTTTTCGATTCTTTTC